CGTTTTTCAGGGAGCTCTTCCTTGATAGGATCTTCTCCTTTGTGTTCTCGTTTGCAAACACTATCTTTATCATTCGGTCTCGGTCTTTGTTGTACCGGCCTAGCCTGAAAACCTTCTCAATGCTATGCTCAGCCCCTTCCATGTCTAGTGCCTTTAGTACTTCATTCACTGCTGCTTTGTCCTTGTCATTCCAGTGTGTGTGTGTGTGTGTGTGTACTCACCTAACTGTGCTTGCGGGGGTTTAGCTCTGGCTCTTTGGTCCCGCCTCTCAAATGTCAATCATCAGTTGTACAGGTTATTGAGCCTATTGGGATCTATAATATCTACACTTGAAACTGTGTATGGAGTCAGCCTCCACTACATCACTTCCTAATGCACTCCATTTGTCAACCACTCTTACACTAAAAACGTTCTTTCTAATATATCTGTGGCTCATTTGGGCACTCAGTTTCCACCTGTGTCCCTTAGTGCGTGTACCCCTTGTGTTAAATAGCCTGTCTTTATCTACCCTATCTATATTCCCTTGAGAATCTTGAATGTGGTGATCATGTCCCCCTAACTCTTTCGTCTTTCAGCGAAATGAGGTTTAATTCCCGTAGCTCATACCTCTTAGCTTGGGTACTAGTCTGGTGGCAAACCTTTGAATCTTTTCCAGTTTGGTCTTATCCTTGACTAGATATCAACCGTGAGAGGGGAGAGGTGACGCCTACGAGGCGACAGTGTGACCCTGAGGTCAACATCAACCGGCGTGATGGAGAATAACAGCTATGACGTGGTCGTGACGTGTTCATGACGTCACCTCTCCTAATGATCATCGAACGTTCAATATGATTGGTTCACGCTCATTTGCTGCAATGCTATTGGTCAAATTGTAACTCTTTTGTGCTGTGTGCCACGAGATGCCCGGCAGCCCTTGTAGAGTATTCTCGTGAGGGAACTCTTGCATAGAGGACGTGTAGCTGTTCTGTCTATCGGTCAATAGACTGAACACCGTCCATTCCTCACCGTCAAGTTAACTCAGCGTCTTTTCGATATACCCACACTCGCCCAGAATCACGATTATGAATATATTGTTCAGAAACCTATAGTGACAAAATCACCGGAGCAAAACAGACTGGTATCAGGTAACCCCTGGTGACAAAGATCGTTGTGAGTGACCTAGAGTGAACTCAAGCAGTGCCGCCGCCTAAGTAATCTGTGTGTGACTTTATCACAGTGTACCTGTACCACAGTGTACAGTGTAGTGCATGGTACCATATAACCTGCAGCCGCCAGCCGCCACTCTGTCGCGAGTGTGTAGCCCGCCGCCACCCTCACTGTACTACGTGACGTCACCACCTTACTCACCGCCAGTGCCAGAGTGCGTGCGTGTGTCAGTTATACATACAACATACCCTACTGCGAGTACCCTCCGTGTCTATGAGCAAAACCAGCTGTCAGGCCACCTACGAGTTCTTGCATAAATATGTCTGAGTGAGTGAGTAAGGAAAGGTACCTTATCTGTAAGTACAAGATCTTGTCATTGTTTATTGTGTCTGTGTTGATCTGAGGGATCAACCACAGTTCTCACCTACTCATACCTTTCACAGGTTATAGGTGAATCGACGGTGTATGCGTGTTATCTGTGTGGTATCACGGCATTTCACTCGTCTGTGAATGTCAGCTTCACATACATCACACATTTAGTTATTGTGTAACATTATTATTGTGCATGTTATTGCCTGTCCCATTGACAGTGTATTTGTGAATTATTGCATATCATCATTACCGAGTATCCGGTTGGAACTCTTGTGACCCCTTTGCATATGAGCAGTTAGGTTGCCGTGTTAATGATTGGCTGTCAACTGTGTTAAGTTAGGTGTTTCTCCACGAGTGGATACGAGTCGTTTAGCCAGACATCAAGAGTCTCGCTAATGCAACCATAGCCTTTTTGACGCCAATCTAAAGTAAATCAAGCACCCTTTGTATTAGTGGTTAAGTTAGTAAATAAACTACTGCTTTATGCGGCGTTTCCGTTGAACCACTTCTGAATACTGCATATCAATTACTCAAGCCTTCAGCTCCAGGTGTCTTCAATACCGAGTTGCCTAATTCACTAAACTATAAATGTGATGAGGACCCTGGGAGTCCCTTAAAGTGTTAAATCATTGAGGAGATTCCAACGATCAGCGTGGAGCAGGACCAGGTGAGGCTAGTCTGAGAAGAGACCCTCAAGGACTCTAACTCAACCTTGCTCCCAGACCCTGTACGGTTGCTCTCGTATTTTCTATTCTGCTAATTCCGACAGTTTCGTGAAGCGTCTGCCACATGTACATTGTACGAATTGCAGTCGTGAAAGAAAGATAACCCCCACACCAGCTACACCTGCCTGTCTCTCCAGCTTATGTACCTGCCTTATATGCGGTACTGTGTCAAAGGCTTTCCGACAATCCAAGAAAATGCAGTCCGCCCATCCTTCTCTTTCTTGCTTAATTTTTGTCACCTGGTCGTAGAATTCTATTAAGCCAGTCAGGCAAGATTTACCTTCCATGAATCCATGTTGTCGACTTGTCACGAAATCCCTTCTCTCCAGATGTGTTACTAGGTTTTTTCTCACGATCTTCTCCATCACCTTGCATGGTTTAGAAGTCTAGGACACTGGCCTGTAGTTCAGTGCCTCTTGTCTGTCGTCCTTTTTGTATATTGGGACCACATTCGCCGTCTTCCATATTTCTGGTAGGTCTACCGTCTCCAGTGACCTACTGTACTCTATGGAGATTGGCAAGCAAAGTGCCTCTGCACACTCTTTCAGTACCCATGGTGAGATCCCGTCTGCACGAAAAAGCCATTCTAACATCCAGATCCAGCAGGTGTCTCTTGACCACCTCACTCATAATTTCGAACCCTTCCAAGGCCGCCTGGTTTACTTCCTTTTCCCCTAGCACAGTGACCTCACCTTGTTCTATTGTGAAGACCTCCTGGAACCTCTTGTTGAGTTCTTCACACTCCTCTTTGTCATTCTCTGTTTACCTCTCCTCGCCTGTTCTAAGTTTCATTACCTGTTCTTTCACTGTTGTTTTCCTCCTGATGTGACTGTGGAGTAGCTTTGGCTCAGTCTTGGCTTTGTTTGTCATATCATTTTTTTATTTTTTCTCTGCTTCTCTTCTCACCCTAACATACTCATTCCTGGTTGTCTGGTATCTCTCTCTGCTTTCTGGTGTTCTGATATTTCGGAAGTTCCTCCACGCACTTTTGTTCAATCCCTATTCTTCCATACATCCCCTATTATACCATGGATTCTTCTTTTGCCTCTCGGATTCTTCCTTTTGGGCCAGGATGAATCTGTTTGCTGCCTCCTGACACTTTTGGGTGACATAGTCCATCATATCTTGTACAGACTTAGCTCTGAGGTCTGTATCCCAAGGTATTTCCCTTAGGAAACGTCTCATCTCCTCATAATTCCTCTTTCGGTAAGTTAGCCATTTGTTTCCTAGTTCTTTTTTTTTTGGAGGGGGGGGGGAGATAATTCCTAGCTCTACCAGGCAATACCAGTTCAATACACTGTGGTCACTCATTCCCACGGGTGCTTCCATCTTAACTTCCCTTATACCCCACTCATTTAGGTTAAATATCAGATCGAGGATAGCTGGTTCATCTTCTCCTCACATTCTTGTTGGTTCCTTGATGTGCTGGCTTAGAAAGTGTCTTGTTGCCACGTCCAGCAGCTTAGCTCTCCATGTTTCTAGTCCTCCATGTGGATCCCTGTTCTCCCAATCTATTTTCCCGTGGTTGAAGAGTCTCTTATGATTAGTAGTCCAGATCCATTCCTGCTGGCAACAGAAGCTGCTCTCTCTATTATGTTTATGGTGGCCATGTTGTTTCTATCATTTTCCTGTCTGGGTCTTTTGTCATTTGGTGGTGGATTATATATGACAACGACTATAATTTTTGGTCCTCCAATTGTTATGGTACCTGCTATGTAGTCACTGAAACCCTCACAGCCCTGAATAACCATCTCCTCAAAGTTCCAGCCCTTTCTTACCAGCAGAGCTACACCACCACACCTCTTCCTTCTCTCTCTTTCCTCATAACATAATATTCCTGTGGGAACACTGAATTTGTCATAGTTTTCGTTAGCTTTGTTTCTGTGAGTGCTATTATGTCTGGATTTTCCTGTAGTACCCATTCTCTTATATTTCTTATATTTCTGTAGTACCCATTTTCTTATATTTCTTCGGCATCTGTGTTTAGCTAGTTTAAATCTATGACCTCTTGTTCTTAAAGTTCCAGGTCTCAGGAAATCTTCCCTATTGATTTTATCAATTCCTGTTACTATTTTGTAAGTAGTGATCATATCACCTCTTTTTCTTCTGCCTTCTAGTTTTGGCATATTTAATGCCTCTAAGCTCTCCTCATAGCTCTTGCCCTTCAGTTCTGGGAGCCACTTAGTAGCGTGTCTTTGCACCTTTTCCAGTTTGTTGCTATGCTTCTTAAGATATGGGCACCACACTACCGCTGCATATTCTAGCTTTGGCCTAACAAAAGTCGTGAACAATTTCTTTAGTATATCACCATCCATGTATTGAAAAGGAATTCTGAAGTTAGAAAGCGTGGCATAGGCTCCTCGCACAATATTCTTTATGTGGTCCTCAGGTGATAGTTTTCTATCTAGAACCACCCCTAGATCTCTTTCTTTATCAGAATTCTTTAAAGATTTCTCACATAATATATAGGTTGTGTGGGGTCTATGTTCTCCTATTCGACATTCCATAACATGGCATTTATTAACATTAAATTCCATTTGCCAAGTGGTGCTCCATATACTTATTTTGTCCGGGTCATCTTGAAGGGCATGACAATCATTTAAGTTCCTTATCCTTCCTAATATCTTAGCATCATCAGCAAACATGTTCGTATAATTCTGTATACCAACTGGTAGATCATTTATGTAGACAGGTGTGTGTATGTCTGTGTGTGTGTGTTTGTAAGGTCGTTGCTTATCACTGGTCCTATTCCCTCAGGTTGCTGCCGGCAAGGCCAACAATATTGGACTGTCTAACTTCAACGCTGAACAACTTCAGCGTGTAATTAAAGGTAACGTGAACCTTCATATTAATATTAGACAAATTACTGAACAACACATTAAAATATAGTTACTAAGCTGTTCCTGGTGTAAATTCATCATTTTCACTATCCTCTCCTGTCACAAGCCTTGCCAAAGGTCTCCAGTCTCTCCTGAGGATGAGCTGTCTTCTGATTGTTACCTTCTGAGTAACAATTCTCTGCATTGTTAGTGCCAAGAAGATATTTTGTCAAGGTTTTCATAAGGAATCAGTATTGGGTGATTGTTGAGTTAAGTTTAGATCACTAGTCGTAGTTATAATTACCATCCTCAGTCTGTTCAAAACCGTAAAATGTTTCATGTATACAACAGTGTTCATCATTCTATACATTTCATATTTTGAGGAGCAGTTGTAATACGATTCAGATTCATGGTACCTCATGGCGATGGTACCTCACTGCCTGAATAATGGCCAAATAATGAGGCTGATTATAAATATTATTAAACAGTTGAAGTCATTGTTTGATGCATGCCTCCAAGGCAACAGAGTCGTACAATACTCTCATTACTTGTCGTCCTTGTCGGGTGTTTCTAGATGGTCCATAGACAATTCACAATGATTAATGGTCATTGTTAATGGTCATTGACTGAAGCCAACCATTGAGCGTCGCGCTACTGTTAGCGACCTGCACTACTGATAGCCGACCCACGCTACTGTTAGCGACTCACGCTACTGTTAGCGACCGGCGCTACTGTTAGTGACTCGGGCATCAAACTACGTCACTTTTGTTCAGTATGATCTTATATCTTTTTTTGTATGTCAAATATTACTTTAACAGAATGGCTAGGATGACAGAATGGAGTGACGACGTTATATATCGAATACACATTCTTCTATAATTTGTAAAACACAGACACACACACAGGGGGAGAGGGAGCGCAGGGAGAGAGAAAGGAATCAGAGAACCACAACCCCGAACCCTACAATCCCAGAGGGGAGAAAGGAACCCTCCTCAAACAGTGCAACAGCCACCAACCCGTTCTCGCAAATTTAATAAGTCAAAATTGACTTATTAAATATGTGCATAGGTGACATACTTAACATAATAGATACCCTTAAAAAGATTCATAGAAAACACCGACCTTACCTAACCTTGTTAGTATCTTAAGATAAGCATCTTATAGCTTCGTAATTACAATTATTACCTAACCTATAATAGGTATAGGTTAAGTAATAATTGTAATTACGAAGCAATAAGATGCTTATCTTAAGATACTAACAAGGTTAGGTAAGGTCGGTGTTTTCTATGAATCATTTTAAGGGTATCTATTATGTTTAGTATATCACCTATGCACGTAGTTAATAAGTCAATATTGACTTTACGAATTTGCGAGAACGGGTTGCAGCCACAGGGAGTGGCGCACCACCCCCACATTCTACCCAACAGACACCCCACCTGCCCCATCCCCTGACAGCTCCCCACTAAGTACCCACCTAGAGCACCCTCCCCCGAAACTCATCCCTCTCCCCAGGACCTCCCTTCTCCCCATCCCCCAAGCCCTCCCTTCTCCCCCATGCCCTCCCATCTCTCAGACCCCCTAAAGCCCTCCGTTCTTCCCCACTCCTCTAAGCCCCCCACTCTCCCCCAATCCACCTAAGCCTTCACCTCTCCACAACTCCCCTAAACCCTCCCCCTCTTCCTCACACATCTCAGCCTTCCCTTTTCCTTTCCCTTCACACCCCTCAAGCTCTCCCAACAATTCTGCCCTCCAAGCCCCCACTTCTCCCCCATCCCTCCAAGCCTCTCCTCCCCCATGCCCCCCCCAAGCCTCAGCATCTCCCACGCCTCCCAACTCTCCCCCCTCTCACCCCCCCCAAACCCTCCCCCTCATACTCTCCCCTCCCAATCCTCCCCCTCTCACCCACCCTCCTACCCTCCCCCTCTCACCCACCCCCCTACCCTCCCCCTCTCACCCACCCCCCTACCCTCCCCCTCTCCCCCACCTCCCCATGCCCTTCTTCCTCCACCAGTCTCCCAGTACCAGAACCTCCCAGCTTCCGCTCACCCCAGATCCCACATGGTCCCCCCAGAGGAGAAGCAGAAGAGAGTCAGTTTCAGGTTAATGTACTCGAACTTAGATGGGATCGCAAGCAAGGCAAGTGAACTAAGGGAAAGAGCACAAGAAGTGAACCCAGATGTAATCGGACTCACTGAAACAAAACTCTCAGGAATCATAACGAATGCCGTGTTTCCCCAGGAGTACACATTGGGGAGTAGAAATAGCCTAAGCTACTCTATCCCTTTGAGATGTATTTATTGCTTATCTCAATAAACATACTTGAACTTGAACTTGAAGGAGTACACAGTAATAAGGAAAGTGAGTCAAGGTAAGGGAGGAGGCAGAGTGGCCCTACTAATGAGAAAGGAATGGAGTTTCAAGGAGATGGCTATCCTGGGCTGTGAGGGTTTCAGAGACTATATAGCAGGCACCATGACAATGGGAGGACCAAGAATAGTAGTAGCAGTGATATATAACCCTTCACCAAATGACAGAAGACCCAGTCAAGAGTATGACAACAACAACATGGAAGTTAACACTATACTTGAGAGAGCAGCCTCTGCTGCCTGTAGAAATAGATTCCCACCTGCTCATCATGGGGGACTTCAAACACGGAAGGATTGACAGGGAGAACAAGGAACCGCATGGAGGCGAGGATACGTGGAGAGCCAAACTATTGGTGGTGGTGACAAGAAACTTTCGAACCCAGCATGCCAGAGAACCCACAAGGATGAGAGGAAATAATGAACCAGCGAAAATCGACCTAGTCTTCACTCTGAACGACTCCGTCATAAGAGAAATCGGCTTTGAGACCCCAGTAGGAATGAGCGACCACAGTGTACTGGTGTGTGAGTACTTGATTGAAGAAGGGGGTATTGGACTCGAGGAAGGGTACCGAAAACAAAAGGCTGGCATTCCGAATTAGAAACTATGAGGAGACAAGAAAATTCCTAACAGATATAGCAAAGGAACCAGAGCTCAGAGGAAAGACGGCCCAAGACATGATGGCCTACATCACGCAGAAGTGCAAGGAAGCAGCAAACAAGTTTTTCCCAGTCCAAAAGGAAAACAGTGAAATGAAGACTAGAAGCCCATGGTTTAATCAGAGATGTAGGCTCGCTAAGCAGCAAAGTAAAAAGGTGTGGAGAACTTGAGAGCAGAGAAAGATACCAGAGTGCCAGGAATGAGTATGTCAGGATAAGAAGAGAGGTAGAAAAACAATACGAAAATGACATCGCAAGCAAGGTAAAGACTCAGCCTAAATTGCTGCACAGCCACATCAGAAGAAAAACAACAATAAAGGAACAGTTTATGAAATTATGGATAGGGGCAGAAGGATTCATTACAAACGATAAGGAAGTGTGTGAGGAACTGAATAAGAAATTCCTGGAGGTCTTCACCTTTGAGCAAGAAACAAATCCAGAGATAAGAGAGGGAATAGTTAACCAGGAACCACTAGAAGATTTTGAGATTACCAGCGGGGAAGTAAGGAAGTTCTTACTAGAGTTGTAGGTGATAAAGGCTATAGGCCCAGATGGAATCTCCTCTTGGATACTAAAGGAAGGAGCAGAGGAGCTGTGCCTGCCACTCTCCATAGTGTATAACAAATCATTGGTAACAGGGGAACTGCCAGAAATTTGGAAAGCTAATATAGTTCCGATATACAAGACAGGGGATAGACAGGAGGCACTGAATTACAGGCTAGTGTCCCTAACCTGCAAACCATGCAAGCTGATGGAGAAGATTGTGCAAAGAAAGCTATTGGAACATCTGGAGCGAAGGAACTTTGTAACACAGCATCAACATGGGTTCAGGGATGGCAAGTCCTACCTCAGAGGGTTACTTGAATTCTAAGACCAGGCAACAAAAATCAGGCAAGAAAGAGAAGGGTGAGCAGACAACATATTTTTGGATTGCCAGAAAGCCTTTGATACAGTACCACACAAGAGGCTAGTGAAAAAGCTGGAGATGCAGGCTGGAGTGAAAGGGAAGCTACTCCATTGGATAAAAGAGTACCTAAGCAACAGGAGACAACAAGTCAATGTGAGGGGTGAGATCTTAGATTGGCGAGACGTTACAAGTGGAGTTCCACAGGGGCCATTCCTTAGACCTATACTGTTTCTGATATATATAAATGATCTCCCAGAGGGTATAGACTCGTTTCTCTCAATGTTTGCTGATGATGCAAAAATTATGAGAAGAATTGAAACAGAGGATGATAGTAGGAGGCTACGAGATGACCTAGACAAACTGAATGAATGGTCCAACTAATAACTGCTTAAGTTCAACCCGAGTAAATGCAAAGTCATAAAACTGGGCGGTGGAAACAGAAGGCCAAACACAGGATACAGAATAGGAGACTAAGAGAAATACTTAATGAAACGGACAGAGAGAAAGATCTAGGAGTTGATATCACACCAATCCTGTCTCCTGAAGACCACATAAAAAGAATTAGGTCTGCGGCATATGCGAGGCTGGGTAACATCAGAACAGCCTTCAGGAACCAGTGTAAGGAATCATTCAGAATCTTGTATACCACAAATGTAAGACCAATCCTGGAGAATGCGGCCTCAGCATGGAGCCCGTACCTTGTCAAGCACAAGACGAAGCTGGAAAAAGTTCAAAGATATGCCACTAGACTAGTCCCAGAACTAAGAGGCATGAGTTACGAGGAAAGGCTGCGGGAAATACACATTACGACACTGGAAGACAAAAGAGTAGGGGGAGGCATGATCACTACCTACAAAATCCTCAGGGGAATCGACCGGGTACACAAAGATAAACTATTCAACACTGGTGGTATGCGAACAAGGGGACACAGGTGGAAATTGAGTACCCACATGAGCCACAGGGAAGTTAGAAAGAACTTTTTCAGTGTCAGGGTAGTTAACAGATGGAATGCATTAGGCAGTGATGTGGTGGAGGCTGACTCCATACACAGTTTCGAATGTAGATATGACAGAGCCCAGTA